TGTGTGTGTGTGACAACAGCCCTGAAACTATTCAGCTCTTGTTTGTCCCAGGGTACACATTTTCTGGACTAAGTTGCAGAATTATATTTAAAAAAAAGAGACCAATCTCGATGTTTGCTGTGATGAAAAAGATATTCAGATTCGGCCCCATCGGAAACAATCTTAAAATTGCGTTTGTAATCCATTTAATTATTAGAACGCCACGTTAATATATCCATACAATGAAGTGGTCTGGGAAGAACCCTGTGTTTGGGCGTTTTACAATGGAAGTGAGAGGGTATTTGCAGACTATTTTGAAGTGCAAAAATCTGAAAGCGGTGCGGACGTTTTTTTCAATTTGTTGAATCTCTTTTCATAACTTGAATTTATAGGGTAATATGTACCCTCCCCCCTGACGATCTTTGTGTCTTGAATCGTTCTATGTACTCTTGTTTGAACTGTGCTTGTTAAGCAATCAAGTTTGCCTATTAAGTGCGTGGGGTGGGGCGAGAGGGTTCCTGGATTCGTGGATACAAGATAAATGAGACAGGCGAAGGTGCTGGCTAGGACACTGAGCCAATTTGGGCGTTAATAACCGGGAAAGACGTTCCCTGTGTCCGTACAAGCAGGATTGAGGGTCTGAAATTGAAGCCTAGCTAGGGGAAACGTTATACGCGCTCGGGCATTAAACTTTTAACAACAGGAAAGGAAGCTATAGGATTTCAGGCCAGCAGCGCAGAGGTTATCGGGGGGTTTGGCGTCGGAGAAGACGCAATGCAATTTCAGCGCCCGGTTGGACTAATGTAGCGCCGTCCCGAGCCCCCGGTCTTTCGGAATGGCGGCCGGCTGGGAGTCGGTCCGGAGGTCGTGCCGGGAGCGGGCGTTCGGGCTGCTGGCGCTGGGCTACGTGCTGTACGTCCTGCTGGGCGGGGCCGTGTTCGCGGCTCTGGAGCAGGCCGGCGAGGTGGCCCTGCGCCGGGAACTGCGGGAGGTGCGGGCCGCCTTCCTAGACGATCACCGCTGCCTGCGGGAGGCCCCGCTGGATGCCCTGCTGGAGGAGGTCGTCTCGGCCGGCCAGCACGGCGTGTCGGCGCTGGACGACAGAAGCGAGGAGTGCAACTCCGACTTCACCTCGTCCCTCTTCTTCGTGACCGCGTTTCTCACGACGACGGGTAGGTGGGAAGGTGGTGGTGGTGGTGGGAGGGTTACAGTTTTGACTTCGGCCTTGTGGCGTCTGTTATGTCGCGCCCAGCGTCCGTTTGGGCTTTTACGACGCTGTCGCGCTGTGGGTTTTGGGGGGGGGGGGTTACCGCTTTACGGCACCTGGGTGCCTTGGCGGGGTTCAATGTCGCACCACTCAAGATCTTCAAGTTCGGAGCTGATAAAAAAAAAACCGCCCTACATGTGCAGAAGGTTCCGATTGGACCGGCTCCGTGAGGGATTGGGTGTGGGAATGAGAGGGCTCAGCTGGGAAGGAAAACCAGGAGATGTGGGGGGGTCCCCTGGGGGAACCCCCCCAAATTATCCTGTAAAGGACAGGAGGGATGGACCGTACAGCAGCTTAGATGTTCTGTCTGGTCTCAAACAGGTGGAGGTTTAAATAAGAACGAGGCGCTCTGGTACTCGAGTAAAACTGGTGTTTTAGAAGTTGGGGATCCCCATTTGTAAAGATCTTGAGCCATTTGCAGTTACCATGATTAATCGGACAGGTGGCTCATTATGTGATGCCGATGGGGGGGTGGAATCTGAACATTTCTTCTTGCTTAATTGCTAACTCGATTGGCCAGCGCGCCTGATCTTTCACGAAAACGGGCGATTTGGGGGTTTCGGAGGAGATCCTGCAATCAGGAGAGGGGAGACCCTGCTTTACACAAAGGGTGGCGGGGGTGTGGAACAAGCCGCTTAGCCATGCGGTGGAAGCCGGTACCCTGGCTCCTCCCAAGCCGCAGCTGGAGGGGATGGCTCCAGTCAAGATGGCGGGGGGGGGATACCACTGTACACAAAGGATGGTGGGAGGATGGAACGAGCTCCACAGCCTTCTTGCGAGTTACAGCTGGGTGAGATGCAGCAATCAGGACGGGGGGGAGAGCACTACGCTAAGGGTGGTAGGAGTGTGGACCAAACTCCCCTGGCTTCTTTCGAGGAAAGGGGGAAAGAAGACCTCGCAGAATTCAGCTCTGGGTCTGCACCTGCTCTGGGTGTGCACCTGCGCCCTCGTTTGCTGTAATACAAAGAAGATGTTTGCTTAAAAGATTTTTTTTTTTGCACAGCTCTATTGTGGTCGGGACGTTATTTTTAGCTTGCTGTATGTGCACGAGGAGGAGGGATAATGGTGAGCGTTTCTGCCCCATAGCGCTGAGGGGGGACCTGGGTTCACCTCCGGATCTGGGGTGTGCTGTCTGGGGGGAGTTTGCATGTTCTCACCCAGTTCCTGGAGGTTAACTGGCTTCTGGGAAAAGATAGATAGATACTTTATTGATCCCGTGAGGGAAATTGCAGTGCAACAGCAGCTTAACACAGACAACGCAGCCACAGTGTAATTAATTATATAATAATAGTACAATACAAGAGTTACTCACAGTCCGGACACACAAAGAACAGACTAGAACAGAACAGTACACAGAAAAATCGTATCACACATATGAATCTAAATATAGATATAATGTATTGCACAGGTCCCTGGTATATATTGCACAAAAACCGGTTGTAAATGGGGAAAAGAAAAAGAAAGAGAACAGATGTAGCAGTAGATGCGTTCAGTCCAGAAACCGGTCACTGTCGATGTTCTGGTGTGTGTGTGTGTCCTGTGATGGATTGGCGTCCTGCCCAGGATGTGTCCTGCCCATCGCTTGCTGGGACAGGCTCCAGTTGCCCCATGACCTTGACCTGGGAGAAGCAGTTAAACTGGATGGATCTATCTGCACGATTCCTTCCCATCTGTCTAACGTAATGGGCTGTTTTCTAGAACGCACATTGCCCTGGATTTAGGGAATCTTCCTCTAACCCATTGGAGGACTCTGTGCACAGGGGAGAGTCTGTGCTTTTGTCCGACGTCCGGACACACCCCAACCTCCGGTTTGTGTGTGTGACCGAGGTGATAGATCCTGCCCTTTTAATCATATGAATTCCTTGCACTTCTATAGCGCCTTTCTAGAGCCTCCCACTCAGAGCTCTGTCCAGGTCATGGGGATCCCCCTCCACCCCCAGCAGTGTGTACCCCCACCTGGATGAGGCGCCAGTCCGCTCCCCCCACACCCCAGCTCTCAGTGGGGAGGAGAGCAGAGTGATGGAGCCAGTTCAGAGAGGGGGGTTATTAGGAGGCCATGATGGGTAAAGGCCAGGGGGGAAATTTGGCCAGGACACCGGGGTAACACCCCTACTCTTCTCGAGAAACACCCTGGGGTTTTTAATGACCCCAGAGAGTCAGGGCCCCTACAGTGTTGACACTAATTGTTTTTGTTGCATTCCGATTGTCCAGTTGTTCTCCCGGGTTTCCCCTGAATCAGGTGGGGGGGGGTCCCCAGCCCGTGCTCTTGGGGAGCCCCGTTAATTCTCGCTGTCTTTCCCCCCCTGCAGGCTACGGCAGCACGGTGCCCCTGTCGGACCAGGGCAAGCTCTTCTGCGTTCTCTTCTGCTGCCTGGGCATCCCTCTCAACCTGCTGCTCCTCTCCTGCCTCACCCAGCGCCTGCTGCCCTGGGTGACGCGCCGCCCGCTGCGCGCCGCCCGCGCCC